CAGGAATTAGCTGTGTCTGGCATGGGGTCAGCTCCTGGTATCTTCTCTCAGAGACCATCCCTGCAGCCCCCCTGCTACAAAAACCCTGCTGTGTAGTCAATACACTGGCCTACTTCCACTCCTGCCCCATCCCAAATTTCCCACTGCAGCCTTGTTGGTCTTGCTCACTCCACAGGCAGCAAGATGGCAGACAGAGAGAGAATGCATGTAAGGCCTCATGCCATCACTGTTTTGTTAACCGTTCTGTCAACGAGATCATTCTAACAGGGTTTGTTTACAGGATGGCTCCTGTACCAGTATTTGATTTATAATAGGGCGCTCTCTTGCCATGAGTTGTGTGACTGAACTAGTAGTAATGCAACAATCGAGGCAATTGAAGAATCACTAAAGGAGTTCCAACTATAGCTCCTATTTATAACAACAGTGACCTAAAAATACACTTCTACACTTCAGAGGTTGGTTAAACATGAGGACATTAGTAGTTAGAGATTATTTTTTTTTCCTCCTTACAGAAGTGTGAAAGGATATGCCGTTATTATTTTTATAATCATTAGGGACTATCTGTGATATGCTTCCAAAGGTTTTTAGCTGTGAGTAGGTGTGAAAAGTTTAAAGCTATGCAGAACACAGGTAGGCAGGTTTTTTTAAAGCTGCTTAAGTATGCTCTCATCAAGTCAAACTGAACCTAAATAATATGATTTTAATTGGAAAAGGTGTACATAAAAAGCCCAGGTGTCTCGCACAGACAAAAGCTTCAGGTTTTTGTTAGACTAGAGCATCTCTCATGACAGTAATGTTTTTAAAGCCCTTGAATTGGTTAAAAACCAAGCATTTGTTTTAATTTCTTCAGTACTCTACTCTCAGGTTTTTATTCCCTTTCTTCTGTTACAGTGGAACATATCACTCCAGAGATGAAAGCACAGACAGTGGACTTAGCATGAGCAGTTACAGCGTACCCAGAACCCCCGATGACTTCCTGAACAGTGTTGATGAGATGGATACAGGTCTGTTTTTCTGTGCATTCTTAATGCGTGTTTTCCAAATATGCTTTTGTCCATTTGCAATGAAAACAAGCAACTCTGAGAAGCTGTGATAATTTTTGCATTGTTTTTTACCTTCTTCTATTTCTGTAATAGAAATATTATAGTTAGATTTGTGAAAAACATACTTGTTAGTCAGCTCTAGTGGGATGATGGGGGATTGCTCATAAATAATGCCACTCCTGTTGTTATATGGAATTTGAATGTCCATTTGCTTTTAAAAATAATATTATTTGTTCAGAGCTAAGAATAGTACTTCGTCCAGTGTTGCTAATACTGCTCCAAAACAATATTTGACTCAGTATTGCCTTTTTCCTTTAAGTGTAAGAATTAAAATATGCTAAACGACGTCAAAGATCTGTAGAGATTTGGGTCAGTAGGTGAAAAGGTTGAAACAAAGGCATGTTGGGTTGTTGTGATGGATTTCTATGAATCACGTTGCCTGTATGATGCAAGAGTTACGGGATTAACCTTTAACCAGTTGTCCTGATAAATTGCGGGTTTGGTACTTCCCCTATATTTAATATCTGTCTTGCTTTGCGTTACAACTAGGTGACAGTATCAGCCAAAGCAACATACCATCCCATCAGAACCGTTTCCCAGACTACCTTGAAGCCATTCCAGGGACAAATGTGGACCTTGGGACACTGGAAGGAGATGGGATGAATATAGAAGGAGAAGAACTGATGCCAAGTCTGCAAGAGGCTTTGAGCTCTGACATCCTTAATGACATGGAATCTGTCTTGGCAGCCACCAAGCTAGATAAAGAGAGTTTTCTTACTTGGTTATAGGAGCCTCAGGGAGACTGAATTCTAAATCTGTGAAGGATCTAAGGAGAATAGGACATTTGTATCTGAAGTTCAGAACAAGCCAGTGTGGCACACTTTGGCTTATGTTCAGAAAAAGTAAATGAACAAATACTCAACAAGATTCTTTTGTTTTGCTCTTCCTTGTCCATCGCTGCTGTTATATATTGCTGACTTTTTTCCACAGTTGACTCTGAAGAACAGACATCTTCTTGATCTTTTTCTATTGCTGTTGCAACTACTGTTCAAGGGGGGTGGGGAGGGATGATGAACCTATTTGGATGACGAATGCCATTCCTTTTGTCCTAGTGTGTGCTTGCATATCGTTTTATCTTAAGTACTCAGATTTGAGAGTTAATTTCTGCATGTCACTGCTCGTAGTTCGCTCAGCTAGTTGTCTCCTGCTGCCTGTGGCAAGTGGTAAAACATGACGTATTGGAGTGACAAGCCAAAAATGATGTATCTGGTCAAAAGAAGTCAATACTGATTTGGAGATATGACTTAAAGGAGGGCTGAAGACTGTATGGCATTAAGTGTTTCTACTAGTAGCTCTTTCATTAGTCACACAGTGCTCTTGTTCATATTTTATGTTATAGTAAATCATGAGTCATTTTACATAGAAACATATATGAACTTTGATTGTTGCCACATATTCTAGCCTAACTTTTGTTTGTCAAAAATAGTTTGATTATTTTTGTTAGTTGGTTTAACTGTAGCTGTAGGATGGGAAGTAATTATAGGTGTTCTTTTTTTTTTTAATAGTGAAATCTAAGAGTTTTTTCTGATTTCACATAGTCTTATTTAAATCTGAATTGTCTGCTTTTTTTATACTTAAAACATGCCTATTGTATCCTGATAAGCTAGTGAGTACATAAATCAGTATGTTTTGCCTGTAACTTTTTTTATTTTTTTAAAGGCTAGCTTTGAATGTAATCATTAGATTTCATGACCAGTGGCTTATTTTTCATGTTTATTTGCAAGATTTTTAATTAGAATCTGATTGCAGCAATGTAAAAGTTAGAATCCTAAGTGTCGTATGTACAATTTTTAATGCATTTTAAAGTAGCAGAAACCATTTTAAAATGACAGATGCATCTAATCTCTCTTCTGGTTTCCAGTTTTGATATCTAAGTGAGTTTAGATTTTAAAATCTTTAATGGGAAAAAAACTTTTCAAAAAGTTTCTCTTAAGTTAACATGGGAAAAGGCTGAACTGGTAATATCACTCTTAAGTTGCAATGAAAAGGCTAGAACACCAAAAAAAAGATAAAAATCCTCAAGAAAAACTCCGAAGTCTAACAGTTATCAAATTCTGTTTGGTGAAAAATAAGCCCTGGACACTATATGTAGAAGAATGTAAAGATATGTGTTAGATGGTGACATGAGCAGGTAATGAAGTGTATATTAGTAGTAGAGCTTAGTGTGAGGTAGAGGTGAATATGAATTATCTTTATTTTAACAGGAAAAGATGTATCACTAAGTTGTCTGCAGGAGTTGACACAGTTTCCAAAGAGTATTTTTAAATGAACAAAATGAGCATGAATCAAACTTTCAGTATAAGCTATGAAGTTTTGTGTGGCTTTGTTTTTTTTCTGATGAAAAATAGTGTCACCACTTAACACCTCTATAATTAAGGGCCTGTCACCATTCTTAACATGAGCCTTTATTTTCAAGGGTGTATAAGACGACTATGTAAAGATACCATAAGTGTGAAACTTGGTTTTGAAAAAAAAATCTCAGCTAGCAGGGACTTCTCCTGGGGAGAGATTTTTTTGGGGTTTTTTGTTTTGTGCTTTTTTAAAATACATTAATTATTTTTCAAAGTTAGGAATGAATCAGCAAAACAAAACAAAAAAAACCCTCATATTATTTTTAGGATTTTTTTTTTACGCTTCAGAAACAGTTCTGCTTTAGGGTTATGTAAAGAATGAAAACTGAATCAAGTCTCATTTTAAAAACTGAAGCAGCAGAGGCAGAGATTTGAAATTTGCCGCTATAAATGTACATTTACTACTTTATGTAAGGATATTAGTGTTTGAAATACACAAAATTGTTTGTGGCTTGTTATGGAATAAAGGCAGGTTTTAAAATACCAATTTTCAAAACACATCCACAATGACAAATATATTCTGCTACACCAATATTGAGCGATTAATAGGCCACTTATATTGTGCAATGACGCAGTAGCTCCTAAAGCAGCATACTGTGTCCAAGATAGGGATTTTAGTAGCATTTTTACAATTTCATTATGGATTCTTCTCTCTTCTTCCCTTCAGGAAAGACAGACACTAAATTGTTATAACTTGAATGGTCTGACATAAAACCACAACAGCAAGGAAACTTGGAGTTTATTCCATTTCAGTGGTCTTCCGCAGTTGTATCCAGGTATAGTAGGACATACGATGCACTGAGTGCAAACTTCTGACATGCTGTACCTTGCTACAACAGGGAGGAGTACAGAACAAATTTTCTTTCCTTGCTTTTCTGTGTTTGTCACAGCTTTAATATTTGAATGTTTTCTTCTCATTGTAGAAACACTAAATGGCTTATACTGTATTTGGGTAACACTGCTTAGGGTAGATAGTGACAAACTGGGAATCCTTGAACTGCTCTAACATTAGTTCTGTTTTGTGATACTTATTTTAATTGATTTTAATACATTTCCGTTCTCTCATTTATTAGGAAACATACCATAGAGATACTGTACTGTTGGCAATCAACATTAATTTGGAATTTCTTTTTTTTAATTCTGCAAATGCATTGTTTGATGAAGTGGTTAAAATTGTTTGAAATGCAAAAGTGTTTTGGGTAGTATTTTATACTGATGTATATATTGAAACAGAAACCATTGTAATAATTGTAATAGCTTTTAGTTATAAATACACTACATGCAGACAGATGGGGCTGTACAGTACTGTGCTGTTCAACACCTGGGCAGGGCTACTGCTTGGAAACAGGTTGCAGTGTCAGTAAACCATATGGATCAAATATTGTACCGTTCAGTGTTGGCGCTCACCAATGCAAAAGGAGAAGAGATGATTTCAACGTGATTAACACTACGTAGCTTTCACACATCTGGTAAACTAGTACTAAAGTGACCTTTTCACTTACAAGCATGTTTTTTATACAAATTAACAGGTGTGCCTGTGTAAAACAAATTGTTTTCTGTATCTTCGAAAAAATACTCTCCACATTTAGAATGTTGTATGTTAGAGAACTCTTAAATGCACCCTTGTCAAAAATTATATATATTAGTTACCAATGTTACTTTTAGATATGAGCATGACTGTAAGTTAGGTACTTAAGTACATTCTGTTACATTATTTTTCTTTATGTAATACTTTTTCAGTTGTTTTATTTGGTATAAATATATACTTTGTGCTTAAACATCTTTGTTTGTTTTTAACATTCAATAGTATGTAAAGATAGTGATTTCCTTCAGTAAGATGGATGCATTGAATTGTTGGAATTTCTATTGTATGTCTGTTCTCATCCCCCTTGTCACAGCTTTTGTAGTGATAAACTCCAGTCCTGCAAACATTGTGTACAAGCTCACCTAAGAGACAAAGGAGTCCCAGTGGAGTCAGTGAAGGCTTAACATTAACATATATATCTCTGTGATATATATATATGACACATGAAGAGACAGTGACTTTACTGAGCCTCATACAGTTTGTGTAAAACAATACTTTAATTGGATGTTGCACTACAGTGAGAGCTAGTAACAGAGCATTGTTACCTGCTGTGAGAAAGCATCCACTTTTTGCAGACATGCTTGCAATGTTCAGGATCTTCCCATGTAGCAGGTACATTTTTGGCTAACTCTTAAGTTTATACAATAATTTGTGGCAGACTATCAATAAAGACACACTATTTTCATTTCCAAGTTTTGACTTATGAATTGTGAAATATGTAATGCCATACATAGAAAGTGTCTGAAGATTTTAGTTTAAAAAGATCTTGACAGGATTCATTAACTTTGACCTTCTGTAAAACAAATACTGAGAGATGTTTTTTTTAATGTAATGCAGTTTGTGATGGCTGAAGTCATATGCTGTTTGCATTTTAGCAGTTCCAGAGTTAACTACTGGTCAGCACTGAAATGCCTCGACCCTGTGAAATTCAGTGCAGTTGTGTGTTTTCTTAGTTAAAAGTCCAGGGCTTGATGCTTTTATTAGTTTGTCTTTTACTCCTGAGTTCATAGCTAGGTTTAGTCACTCAGATGCTTTAAATTTAAACTGAACCCATCACACCTTGCACCTGGGAGTAGAAAGCCAGTGCCAGGGCATGACAAGATACCAATTTTATTTGCTGATATCACTCTCTCCCATTTATAAGGTGGTGACATATGGCAGTAGTTGAAGTATGAGTGACCTTCTCAGGCAGCCCTAAATAGACTATATTGCAGCAGAGCAGGATATCTGGTCCAGGTGTTTCAGGCTTTCTTGGCAATTTCTGGAAATATTTTCAACGCTTAGTTAAAAATAAAAAGTATTGGTTTCAATAAGCCAGAAATAGTATGCTTCCAAGGAAGCTTTGAGTCTTCCCTATGCTCATGTGCAAATTGTCCACAAAAGGAGTATTTTTCACCTAGAGTCATTAACAAAATAATTATCTGAGATGGGACTATGATCTGTCTAGCACCTCCTGTTCTGGAGGTTCCTTCGGAGGTAAAGTGGAGCCATCGAATTTATTTACAGCATTAACATCCATAGTTTCCATGTTTCTGTTGAAGAGTAAAGGTGTGCTTCTTGCCCCTTGCTGTCACCACTGATTATTGCTAACAATAGTTATCCGCACCCTCTAAATTTAGGTGGTGTCAAAGTAGAAAGACGCGTACAGCATGAAAAATCTTGGCTGGCACAAAATGGTAAAACCAACACTTAACTGAAAAACCAAACTGTCTTTGGAATACTGGGTAGAGCTTTGTACCAGCTATCATATCCAGTATTTAATGTCTCTTAAACAAAAAAGCCAGTGTGTTTTTCTCTAAAGGAAAAAAAAAATTAAAAGAGGAAGCACATTAAGTAAGAAATGTATAAATACCAAGACATCTGACAAAGCTGCCTAATGGTTTATTTGTGGAAAACTCAATGATTTTTACTTTTGCTGACATACTCCTCTCTTTAATGCAGAGAATGTCACAGTGAATGCTACAGATGCAGGCTGTTGCTGACTGGTGTTATTTTCTCTATATGAGAATGAAGTCGGTCACTGACTATAGTATTTTCTATATTAAACTGGCTTGTATTAGAGCGAGAGGCAAAGTAATTTTATTGGATTTTCCTGTCTTTTTATTAGCAAGTAAACAAAAAAAGAAAGTAGGCGGGAGAGAAGTCAGGAGCAGCCCAAGAGGCTTTTTCTTCAATATTATACAACAACAAAATAGAGCTCAATAAAAATGTTATGTTAGATCTCACCTGAAAAGCTCTTTCTTCTCCCATATATGTTATTACTGAGCTACTCTAGTGTGGTTTAAATTCTTATTGTGTTTACCATCTGCGAGTTTTGCTTGCCTAACACCTAAAGACTGGGACTGTAGCACCAGGTGCTGTTTGTCCCCAGAGGAGGACAGAGTTCCTCCTCTCCAGAATTCAGCTCTCATCCTGTTTGAAATCTGTAATACAAAGCAGAAATTACAATCTGACTCCAAACATGCTGCCCGACTGCTGTTACAAGATGGTTATTGGCAAGCGTGATTTTTGGGAATGATGGTGGATTCCTGTTCTGGTTTATCTTCTTAAAAACTGGAAAAGTTCAGCTTTCCCATTTCATTACTTAGATTGTCATAGGAGGGGCACGGAGTCCTCCCCGTGCCAGTGCCACCATGTCTGCAGGAGGACTCCTAACCAGCACGTCAACCTGATGTTAACTGATTTAATTTTTTTTTTTTTTTAAGCTGACAGTTTTATTCAGTCTTTCATTCATAGTTTCATTGTTAATCATGCAAATA